AAATTATAGAAAATGCAGCGTTACCTGTTGGGACATTATCGGAAGAAGCTCAAAAGGAAAGAAATAAGGACTTGTTCGCGAAATCGCTGATTAATCCCGGCGATGGAAGCGGGATGAGAAGGACGCGCGTGGAAGGTGTTAACTAAATATTCACTTTATTTTGTGTAACTCAGACCACAATCTGAGCCGTCTTTAATGCGTCTTTAATGCGTCGAAATTGATACAATCTGACCTGAGAATCGATGAGCGGTGTATAAATGAGGTGTATATAGTCCGTGTAAATGAGAGGCAATTATATTAATTGCCGTCCTCTTTGATGAATCGCCCGTGAGCCGGTGAGACACGTGGCGGTCGGCACTCGCGCACATGTGAGCCTGAGTCGTCGTGTTGATGTACCCGAATAGAGCTGGATGAGCGGTCGCTTTACATGTTAATGCAGTATCTCGGCAGCTGTAATCACTGCGGTGAGCACTTCGATGTGTAGTCACAATCAAAAATGCACAGAGCACACGTCGTGCGTCTGATCACTGCGCGGCCATTTGTACGACTCTGAATATCGCGAGGAAGACGTTGGCGATGAGCGCGCCCGTGCGTGCGCCAGCTGTCGCGGTGATTGGGCGTCGTTACCCGATCGATGCTGCCATCTGATCTGACGGCGCAGCGTTAACGGAATCTCGAACATTCCGCCCGCCATCAGCAACCTTGTTGATGATTCCTTACTCTTGATCCTTCTTCCGGTTGAAATGGGTAATATGGCAAGCTTGGCACTTGGCCGAGTGAGTGTCGTGGTGGCCGTCTTGAGGGTAACCACCCTGGTGAGTCCACCCTTGCTGGGGTGCAAAGCTGTTTCTCTGGTGAGTGGCCATTTGCACGGTGGAGAGCGTTTGTCGGTGAGCAGCACGATGGAACCCATCTTGATGTTGTTGTTAGGATGATGCCACTTGGATATCGCCTACTGGCGTTGCAGATAATAAGCCGACCATTGTGCCTAAAAATGTTGAACGCGCTGCTGGATGAGCTGCCACCGAGATAGTCGTGAGGTTCCTAGGTCAATCAGAGATGGCTTGGGTATGGTAGTGAGTGGACCTCCAATGAGGAAATGACCTGGTGTGAGCGCTGAGACGTCTTCAGGGTCGTCACTCAGCGGTTCTAAGTGCCGCGAGTTGAGAATGTCCTTGTTTTGCGTAAGCAACGTTGTGAGTTCTTCCGTCGTGAGTAGAGTCTCCCCGATAGTCCGTCTCAGATGAAACTTCAGACTTTACTACCGCCTCCCACTTGCCCCCCCATGTGTAGAGCGCTTGGTGGGTTGAACTCCCATCCTGTGTCAGTAAGTTGTAAAACTTTAGCAATCCGTGATGTTCTTGAGAGCCCTGGATGAACATTTTCTTGAGCGCGGCGTCTGCTCCAATGAATGTTGTCCCGCAGTCCGAATACATGATCTGAGCAATTCCCTTTCTAGCTGAGAATTTTCGGAAGGTTGCTATGAATCCTTCTGATGGGTAGTCACTGACTACTTCGAGGTGAATTGCGGAGGCGGAAAAACAGACGAACACACAAATCCATCCTTTGTATATTTTCACACCTCGTCCCTTCCATGTCTTGATAGTGAGCGGTCCGGCATAGTCGACTTCTTTATGAGCAAACGGACGTGACGGCGTAACCCGAGAGAGAGGTAGTTGACCCATCAGTTGATGAGCACGGATCCCTCTCTGCCGAGCACACACGACACACCGTGAGATACAAGACTTCACCGGAGCCCGTCCGCCGATGATCCAGTAATTGTGCCTGACATGAGCCAATGTCAGCTGAGTTCCTCCAGTCCGGGTGCGCAAATGGGCGTAAGCGATGATTTAGGTTGAGAAGTGGCGAGGTAACATCGAATGATGTTTGTTGTCTTGATCTAGTGCTGATTGGTTGAGGCGGCCGCCAACTCGAATGATCCCTTGAGCGTCTATATACGCAGTCAATCGACTGAATGCGTGAGCAGTTGGTAGTCTCGAGTTGGCCGTGAGCATCTTGATCTCGTGCGTGAAGTATGCCGCTTGAGTAGCCTTAATCCAGAAGAATCTGGCCTCCTCCAAAGCTGAGTGCAAGTCGAGTGGCCTGCGTCGGCGCTTTCCCAGAAGCGATATGAATTTGAAACAAAGAGCTGTTATTTTCAATAACTTGTTGAGAGTTGAGTACCTATATATCAGGTCCCAGTGATAGTCCGGTTGAGATGCGGCCGCATGTAGCGCAATGCCAGGACGAGCCTCATGCGTGCTCAACTCGTCCGAAAGCGCGGGTTGAGATGGCCAAGCTTCAGGGGTGAGTATCCACGGTGGTCCCGTCCACCATAATGAGTGGCTTTGGAGTTGAGCAGTGATTAATCCTCGTGAGGCGCAGTCGGCTGGGTTGGACGTACCTGGTACGTATTTCCAATGTGCGTTCGCAGTGAGCTTTTGAATTTGAGAGACCCGATTTCTCACGAAATCCTTCCAGCGCGATGCATGAGATTTGATCCACGTGAGTGTCACAACAGAGTCCGTCCACAGGTGAGTTGCGGTGACGTTCAACTTCAATGTGGCTTGAACGTATTGCATGAGTCTTGAGAGCAGCAGAGCTGCGGTGAGTTCAAGTCTCGGGATGGTGAGCCGCTTGAGCGGTGCTACCTTTGTTTTGGAGCACACCAATGAAATCGTGGTACCATTTGAGCCGTGGACGGTGATAAATACGACTGCAGCCATTGCCAGTTGAGAAGCATCAGAAAAGCCGTGAAATTCCACTGACGAGGTACTCCATGTGATTTGAGAGGTGCTATCTTGGATGTATCACCGAGGTATTGAGAGCTTGCAAGCTTGTGAGTTCTTTTCTGATAATGAGCCACCGTGATGAGAGCTGGGATGACAGTGGTTCATCCCATTGGAGCTTCATGTAGCCAAAGCTCCTGCAAGAGCATCTTCGCCTTGATCACCACTGGTGATACAAAGCCCAATGGATCGAGTATCTGAGCCACTTCAGACCAAGCGAGGCGTTTGGTGAGATGATCGGTGTGCGACGAGATCCTTGTTGAGAATGTGAATGAATCTTCTTGAGGAAGCCATCGTAATCCGAGTCTTTTGGTTAAGCAATCGTCAATGTAGGTTGTGAGCCCTGGTCCTGTTCTGCTTGAACCGCAGTGAGTACGTCTTGATGAGTCGCGTGCTACCTTGCTAATGGGAAGCCGCCCGCCATGCATAAGTCCGTTGAGCAGTATTGACTACCTGCTGAACGGTGTCGTCGCCTCCAGAATTGTCATCAACATATCGACCGGTGTTAGATGATATGGCACTTCATTGAGTTGTTCATCTATCCAGTGAGTCCGTTGTAACTTTCAGTCATCTTCATGCACGTTGATCTGCCTATACCCTTTGGTGATGTCAGTGGCAACTAAGTGCCGAACTTGTCGAATTCAGAGCAAGACATCGGTGATGTCAAAATGCAGCTTGGCTCCTGTGTGCATGAGATCATTAAGTGAGCGGCTGGATGTAGATGCACTCGAGCCATTAAATACCACACGTCATGTTGTGGTTGCACTGTCTGGTCTGAGCACTGCGTGATGTGGCAAATAATATTGTGTGAGCTGACTGGAAACGGTTGAAGCATTCTTCAGGTGATTGAGCTCTTGATAGAGTATTATAAGCTGATGATGCAGACGTCGATAGTTGTCATCTCGTGAGTGTCTTCTTCGTAAACCTGTCAAATATCGATGCGCAGTGAGATACGAATCGCTAAGAGTATCCGGTGATGATTTCAGTGTAAGTCGAACTGTGTATCGACCTGTTGAATCCCGTGAAACAGTACTCTTGAAATGTTCTTCACATCTTTGCTCGTCAGGAGTAAGATCAAGATTGTTGCTCGCAGGCTCTCCTTCTTGTATCCAGATTTCGCCAGCAAGTCGTCAAGAGCATCTTCTCCCTCCCGAACGGAGGCATGATGCACGGTGGCAATTGCCGATGATGATGTATTAACAGATCCGAAAACGAGCTATCCGAAGAGAGCTGCGCAATTGGCATCAATGTATCTCGTTTGATGATGTTGGGCTTGATGATCTGTCCATATGAGTCAGCTCCAATGATGATATCCACTGGCCGTGGTGTTAGGAGATCTAGATCACCAAGGTTAACTTGGTGAGATGCGGCCATTCCTGTGGTGCCGCGTTGAATGATGGCAGGATGTTCGCTGACGCCTGCAGAACGTGAGCTTGAATAATGACGTCTGATTTTGAGTGAAGTGAGCGGAGCTTAAGCAATGCAGCTGTAATCACTGCGGTGAGCACTTCGATGTGTAGTCACAATCAAAAATGCACAGAGCACACGTCGTGCGTCTGATCACTGCGCGGCGATTTGTACGACTCTGAATATCGCGAGGAAGACGTTAGCGATGAGCGCGCCCGTGCGTGCGCCAGCTATCGCGGTGATCGGGCGTCGTTACCCGATCGATGCTGCCATCTGATCTGACGGCGCAGCGTTAACGGAATCTCGAACAGGACTATAAACGATATATTGACTTAATCATAGTAGAAAATGTAGCCGTCTGTTTACAAATGAAGATGTTATGCATATGATGCTCCGTGTCATCCGATCCGTTAATAACTAGTTTAAAAAGTAAACCACATAAAAAAAATTTAGACTTAAGCGATGAAACGCAAGAATTACTTTGCTCTTATACGTAAATACTAAATTAAATGTAAATTGAAATTTTATTTAATTTCAATCAAATACTTGTTCCTATCATTAATTTTTAATAAATATACACTTTTGCAATTTTTATAAGTCAACATTGAAAGGTTCTCTGATCATTCATTGCATATTTTACAAGTAACATAATTTTTTCCGCGATTCGCGCAAACGGCTCCACTGTGCGCCGGGCCGGCCGAGCGCGGCCGCCGCGGCCGCAGCATATCCCCACTAACTGGCTAGTTCGGACACGAACCATTAGCACGGACGCAAACCATGTGCGGTTACCGAGCGAAACGACGTAGTTGATGCGCACTTTCTCAGGCGGCGCGTCGGAAAATGCGACACAGAAAAATTGACGAAAAATGCCGGGATAACCTCTCTCAGGTTTCTCTCTGGTGGTGCCGATAGTGAAAAAGGGTCATGGCGAAAGAGTAGAGGACTATAGAGGGGTTACAATAATGCCTACGTTGTAGAAGATATATGCGTCGGTCCTAGCAGAAAGATTATAAGAGAGGACGTAGAGAACAAAGGAATTTTGTCGCCGAACCAGACGGGATTTAGAAAAGGGATGGGAACGATAGATAATATTTTTGTTTTAAACTACCTAGTAAACAGGCAGATAAAGAAAAGAGGCGGGAAATTAGTGGCGATATTTGTAGATTTGAAGGCGGCGTTTGATTCGGTGGATAGGGGAGTATTGATAAGAGCGATGAGAGAGAAAGGAGTGAGGGAGGGGTTAGTAGAGAGGGTTGAAGAGATACTAAGGGAAACTAGGAGTAGAGTGAGAGTGAGACGGGAGGAGGGTTTTGGACGGCAAGGGGGTAAGGCAGGGGTGTCCGTTGAGTGCAGATTTGTTTAATCTAGTAATGGCTGATTTAGAGGAGGAGATGGGGAAGATAAAATGGGGAGGGGTGAGACTAGGGAAAAACAGAATATATTCATTAATATATGCAGACGATGTTATGCTACTGGCAGAAGATGAAGGGAGTATGAAAAGTATGATAGAAAGGCTGGAAGCTTACTTGGACAGCAAAGGATTAACTTTGAATACGGGGAAAACTAAGATTCTGATATTTAGGGAGGGAAAGGGAAGGATGAGTATAATAAATTGGAGATGGAAAGAAAAAAAGATAGAGGAAGTGAAGGAGATGAAATATCTTGGGTACACATTGCAGAGAAATGGAGGACAGAAAGCACAAGTTAGAAAAAGAGTGGGGAAGGCAGCGGCAATAATGGTGCAGATATGGGGCATTGGAAAGAGAAGGTTTGAAAAAATCTGGAAGAGAAGGATAGGGTTGTTTGATAAGTTAGTATGGACGGTGGCGAGCTATGGAGTGGAGATCTGGGGGTGGAAGGAGAGAGGGGAGGTGAAGAGAATGCATGAAAGGTTCCTGAGATGGGTGTTAGGAGTAGAAGGGAGGACGCCGGAATATTTAGTGAGGAAGAAGTGCAAAGGGAAAAATTAAAGAGTAGGGCAGAGAGAAGAGCATGTGGTTTTGAAGAAAGATTGATGGAGGAAAGGGGAAGTGTGTTGACACAAAGATGTTTGTGGGAGATGAGGGACAATATAGCAAAGGAAAAGGAATTATCGAGATGGGAGGAGGAAAGAAGGCAGTTCTTCGAAATTAGAAGAATGGATTTGCGGGAACTGATAAGAGTGGAAGGAGTAATAAACTATGATGAGTTGGAAGAAAGGGACAAGGAATTGCAGAAGGTGGAGAGATGGGAGAAGATAGGGAGCGCTAGGTACAATAAATGGTATGGGTTAGTTAAAGGGGGTGGTATACTGGAGTATTTGTTAAAGAGTTGGGGGGAGAGTAGATGGAGAAGATTAGTGCGTTTTAGACCAGGCAATGAGATGAGGGAGGGAAGGTATTGGCAAGATGAGGGCGAAAGAGTGTGTAGGTTATGTGGTACGGAAATAGAGACGTGGGAGCACGTATGGCAGAAATGTAGGGGGTGGACCAAAGGAGGAGGTGGCAGGGAGCATATATGAAGGTATTAGGGGAGGATGGAGAGGGGGAGGAATAGATGAAAGAAGCAAGTGAGAGCATAAGAGCATGAGTGACTGAAAAGGAATTTGCAAACGGGAACGGAAGTCCATGCGATGAGAAGAAGAGAAAAAAAAGGAGAAGAAGAGAAAGAGAGAGAGAGAGAGGGAGGGGGGAGAGAGAGAGAGAGAGGGATAAGCGTGCGGGGGTAGATGGGAGTGAGAGGCGTGCGAGCGAGTAGGTTAAGATAGAAGTTAAGTTAGTGTTAAGTTTGTTTGTATATAAAGATTGTAACTCCAAGAAGAACAATAAATATTTATTTAATCTATATAATCATATACATATAATTGTATATTGAAAAAGAACCGTTAACTTCATTAAGAATAAAGCATTAATAAATTAAGTGTATATTTTTTCAAAAGCTATAGAATTAAAAGTAAAGCGATTTATCCCATATTATAACTTGGCGCTGCTTGACGTGAGACGCTGCCGTGTTTTTTTATACCGTTCGTATACCACTGTTCGTCAAATTTTAAATACGAGAAACAAATCCTATCGGATGCCATCTATCGGATAATCCGAATTTAAAAGTGTAATAAATATAATGCACATGTGTTGTGTTTATATATGGATATATGTAATATACATGGATAAATGCTTTTATATATAATTTATATATAATTTGTGACGTGACAAATGTCACGTCCCTCGACTCAGATGGGAGCTCGGCAGAGGAGAGCGTCAGGGATGGTGCCTTCGCCCGAGGCGGGCGGAGCGCAAGCGTTTTAGGTTAGGGCTAAGATCTTTTTGGCGAGACTTACAGGTAGCGAGAGAGTGCGGAGCAGATGACCAGGGTCACGGGATTGTAACGGCGTATGCCGCACCGCGGGACTTTCAGCAGGACAGCCGGAAGCTCCCGAGGACGGACGCCCGACGGGCAGGTCACGCTGGAGCCCGCAGCCAGCCGGAACAGCCGGGGGCTTGTCAAAACATACGATCAGCCCGCACTAGCGCACTGTAGCCCGAATACGGAGG